AAATTAATATATATAGCATATTGTTTATTAAATTAATATATATAGCATATTGTTTATTAAGTTAATATATGTGTATAATGTATTGTTTATTAAAATATATATTTGTAGCGTTTATGTAGTCCTCTTTTGAGAGCATTGACTCTAGATAATTTGTATGTGGTAGTCTTTTTTTTTTAATTTTCAATTGTAAGTGACCTTCTATCATGGTCATTGAGTATTGGGTGCATATATTAAACGTTTTATCCCTTTTTCTCTGTTTTCATTTTCAGATTTTTCAATATGACAAGAAAAGCAGTCCAAGTGTTATAGAAAATGAACAAACAAAGTATGGTAGGTTTTTGTTTATTTTTTTGACCTTCGAAGTGTATCTAGTGGATTCATTTTCACAAGTTATTTCATACAAAAAGACCATTTAAATGTATCATAGAATTAGTTAAAGCATTAAAGAGAATATTCAGCAATGTAGATATAAAAACAGTTTTACCGATTTAATATGGATATTTCACTGAACAAGAATTAAGTTTCAAACAATTTTTATCATAAATACTGGAGTTGATGATAATCTTCACTTAGTTTGGCATTGAATGATGATCAATGAAAGTAGCTAAAATCCTTCTTCTTGACAACTTGGTTTGTAGAAGTAATATTGTAAACACTCCTTCACAACTTGGTTTGTAGAGATAATATTGTAAACATGTCTTGTAATAGGTTGAGACAGGAAATTTCTGAAAATTATAAGCTGCTGTCCAGTACGTCTAACAACTTGGGTGAAGTGTACAAAGACTAGTTCTCTATGTTTATCATGTTGCATGTTTCTTCTAAAAGTTTTCCCACGGTTATTTTTGAGTAAGAATATAACAATTGTACAATACAAAACACTTAAAAATATCTGTAAATTATTAGGTTTTATAAAGTCTTTAAAAACAGAATTGGAAAACTAAAGAATGGGTCACCCACCATAAAGGCTGTTTTTGGTCCTCCTTATAACTAGAGAATGGGTCACCCACCATAAAGGCTGTTTTTGGTCCTCCTATAACTAGAGAATGGTCACCCACCATAAAGGCTGTTTTTGGTCCTCCTATAACTAGAGAATAGGTCACCCACCATAAAGGCTGTTTTTGGTCCTCCTATAACTAGAGAATGAGTCACCCACCATAAGGCTGTTTTTGATCCTCTATAACTAGAGAATGAGTCACCCACCATAAAGGCTGTTTTTGATCCTCCTATAACTAAAGAATGGGTCACCCACCATAAAGGCTGTTTTTGGTCTTCGTATAACTAAAGAATGGGTCACTCACTATAAAGGCTGTTTTTGATCCTCCTATAACTAGAGAATGGGTCACCCACCATAAGGGCTGCTTTTTGTCGTCCTATAACTAAAGAATGGGTCACCCACTATAAAGGCTGTTTTTGATCCTCCTATAACTAGAGAATGAGTCACCCACTATAAAGGCTGTTTTTGGTCCTCCTATGGATTTCAATCAATGGAACACATGATGGCCAGTCATTTACCAATTACAAAAACACCTTCATTTACATTATTAGATTGTTATTAAGGGAGAAAATGAGGACAAAAACCATACATGAAAATGCAGTGTTCTTCCTGTGACTGCATAAAGCATAATTGTTGCAAGTATAAAGCACAGATCTGATATGAAAGAGTATGTAGAGATGTGAAATGTTCAAATACACAATGTCGATATTATGCTGTCACTAGAACACTAGCTGTCAATGTTGTTAGAACCACTACTTCATCTTGAAATTGTCCATAAATACATTGAGTCTTGATAGACTGATGGCACATTTTCCATGGTTAGGCGTGCCTGGTGGTCAGTCTTGAAACACAGAGTGGGAATGTAAAATATTACCATATTATGAATGTCAGGGTATATATGATGTCACAGATGTCAATGATACAGTTGCCAAGTTCTTCAGCATTCATGATGACATTTTTATTGTCTTTACACTGTGTGGAAATATTATAGTGGTATGTGCATGTGCCCAAGGTTGAAGTCCAATCTCTCTCTGTGTGTAGATGACTAGATTTTTGGCAGTAATCAATACAATAATCATGATACACACTAATATTGACAATTGCAATGCACAAATCTTCATATTGCCTTTCTGGGAGGTTGAGTGGTACTGAGAATACTAAACGTAACACTTAATGTTTCTTTTCTCAGTACTTTATTGATCACTGGATTTTAGGGCCAAAAACCACCTTTATGGAGACCCATCCTTTCACTAACTAAACTTAAAAACAGCACAGAATTTACAGGTTCTGTGCCTCTAGGTCTAAGTTTGAGAAATTTATTATTGAACTTAGCATTGCACAGTTAAGCTTGAATAGAAGCATTTAGAAAATTGACAAGTAATGCAATAATAGAAATAGTTAATCAAGCAATCTAAGCTGTTTTAAATTCATGTTTCTTGTATAGAATTTTTACATTTAAATGTGAATTGCAAGTTGCTGTTTTTTTTGTATTTTATATTAATAAATTATCATATTGCAATCTACAAACCCATATTTTGCACTTGGACAAATATGTCAGAGTTGAAGTGCACACACATGTAAAGAGGTGATAACCTATTCATATATTTAATCATTTGAGATTTAGAAGGAATCAGAATAAGCCAAGCAGCTCTTGCTACCACTGTCTTGAAACAAGACTGAGCCTACCCTTTGAAGTCTTGGAGAAAATGTGATGCATACATATATGTATATATATATATATATACCCTTTGAAGTCTGGCAGAAAATGTTGTATACACTTTGAAGCCTTGCAGAAAATGTGTTTTGCCCTTCGAATCCTTTTAGAAAATGTGATACACCCACAAAATTTTCCAGGAAATTTGTTACACCCCTTGAAGCCTTGCAGAAAATGTGTTATACTTCTAGAAGTTTTCTAAGTGTTTTACTCACTCATTGTTGAATTTTTTTTTAACTTATGCTGAGTCTAAATACAGGTTTACAGATGTTACTTTTTTTCATTATGTGCACTTTTTACGTATTCTTGTTAATTAAACCCTTTAGACACAAAATATTACTTCATTGTTAAGTAACTTCCAGTAATAGAGCAATTAAACTTACTTCATGATGACAATATCAACATATCTATCAAAAAGTGTTGTATTTAGTATAAAATGTTGCACATGGTTATGCCAGTTCAGACAATGTTCATGTTAACAGTTTGTAATGTGGAATTAAGGCATTATTGAAGGGCATATAAAGGTATTTCCAAATGGTGCAATAAAAAATCATCAGGTTTACCTTTAACTTTTGAAAATTGATGTAAACATTTTGCATTTTACTGCCTCTTTTCTCTGATTATCTAATTGTCTGTTATAAATATTTTATATTGGATAGTTTTTAAAACTTTAACTGGTATACTTACGCATTTCAGTTAAACAACATGAGAGGCAGTTCCAACAGTTAACTAAAGATATTCAAAGAAGACAAGAGAAAAAGAAACCACTAAACTGTAAGTTTATGCCATTATAACATAAGTGTATACTACTACAGTCTATATTTATACCATTGTAGTGTAAGAGTATATTTTTATTCCAAAAAAAAGGTAAATTTTTGAAGCTTTAAAATTTAATTTGTTTCCAAATCACCTGTTAAAAGTTTGTTTTATATACTTCACTTGTGTGCAAAAATATTTATTATTCACATTTGTTTTGAAGAAAGGATCTTCTTAATTGTATAGTACTCATTATTCTTTTGTTTTATGGTTTTTCTCTAGGTCTGCAGGAAGACGACAACCTTCAGGAGGAAATAACCAGTATAGGTAACGACAGTGACTCAACATTGAGTGATTGTGCTAACCCTGATACCCACATGCATCTTGCCAGTCCTGTACACTTTTCTGATTCAGGTAAGATAATCTATTCAATACTGAAAAGTTTTAGATTCTTTTCTAAGAATTAGTGTCTCCCAGTGGTCTATGAACTTACAATGCTAAAATCTGGGGTTTCATTCCCCACAGTGGCCATAGCAGATAGCCTAGTATGTTTTTGCCCTAAAACAAACAAACAGACCTTGTGTTTGAATGATAACTTGAGACTCTCACATGGAATAGGGATGTTTCCACATCCTGGTGCTCTTTTATGTTTGGTCAGCTGTTTTATGATATGAAGTTTGATATTTTTGAGAAGAATCAGATTGAACTTTGAGGAGAAAATTTTTTTTTTGAGAGAATCAATACTTGCCAGTGAAGTTTTGTCCATGTCTGAATCTTTTATCTATCCCTTTTACTGATCAACTGCATACTTCAACTTAATTATTTATTTTTATTTTCCTGCTACTTTGATAATCTCTTGTATTCACTTGTTTAAGTTCCTTTTTTTCTTTTTACTTGCTTACTAGAGTAAATAAAATACTCTATTTTATTTTTGTTTCCTTTTCAACCTATGTCTTATCTTTTTTATTTATTCCACCTATCACAAACTGCTGCACATTAGGCCCACAAACCTCTCAGTTTTGCAGAGATCAGTCAGTAGTTGCATTCAAGTATAAGTTTATATCAACACAGATCACCTCAGTCAAATAAATTTAGTTTGAGTTGTTTAAAAATATGCCTTATTAGCAATAGCTAGTGGGTTATCCTTTTAGCTCAGTTGGTAGAGTACTTACTTGATGTGCAGATGCCCCAGGTTTGAATCCAAGCTGAGGAAATACAACAAACTTAAACTGTAATGGCCTGACGTGACTTCATTACAAAAGCGTAATGTTACTGTGGTACTGTAAACATGTGATATTTTTAATCTGTTGTTCATATTCTGTTACACTTCTGTATAACATTATCCAATCTTGCAAGTACACAGTGTGGAAGTCCCCCTGAAATTGTCTAACTGGCAAAGCAACTATAACTACCTCTAATGTGAAAAGTTGATGTAAAATGTGTTAACTTTCTAACCACAGAGATTTTTTTATCCATATATAGATGGTCAACATGACATTGTTGATATTGTAGAAGACAGCACTTCTGACTGTAGTGGTCAGAATAGAAGCTTCAGTCTGCTTGACAACATTCCATCAAACTTTGGTGAGAACAACTAAACATTTTACTGCTTGTTTATTTCATTTGTTTGTAGTGACTGGCCACATTATTAGGATTCTCATGCATATATTTGTAGTTCACTAAACAGGCTGATTGTGAAATGTGTCCGTCAATTGTTTGAGTCATATAGTATAGAGATGGAGACGTATCACATTTAGTCTTCAAGACAATAGTAAAAGCATTGTTCTCTCTGAACTTTAAAAGGTGTCAGAGTGAATGTCCATATAGCAGAAGTGTTTTTGTCAGAGATCACTTTTTTTCTACCTATAAAAAGTGGCAATCAGTAGAGACTACGTCTGCCACAACTAGTACTGTTATCACCATCCACTGGTCACAGATTGGACAAGTACAATCTGTCATAAAAGTGAAACTACAGTGGTGTTTAAAAGCTCAAACTGAGGACATTAAATGAATAAAAGCAAGTTCTGAGTTCTTTGTTTTCTGCACAAAATAAATACTGGAAATAGTGTAGTGTAAACATTTGTTACAATGCAAGGTATGTTTGCAAAAATTATGAGTTAGAAAGAAAAAGTATTATAAAAGAATTTTGTTGTGTCAACCATATTCCATTCATATAGAACTATTCTGTAAATTCATGTGTCACCTGTAATCTTTTCATATAGAACTATTTTGCAAGTTCATGTGTCATCTCTGATCTTTTCATATAAAAATATTCTGTAAATTCACGTGTCACCTATAAACTTTTCCTATAGGACTGTTCCACAGATTCATGTGTCACCTGTAATCTTTTCATATAGAACTATTTTGCAGGTTCATGTGTCACCTATGATCTTTTCATGTAGAACTATTCTGGAGATTATTGTGTCACCTATAATATTTTCATATAGGAGTGTTTCACATATTCATATGTCACCTGTATTCTTTGTATGTAGAACTATTCTACAGGTTGTTACCTATAGTCTTTTGTATAGATCTTTTCTGCAGATTTGTGTGCCACCTGTAATCTGTTTCACATAGCACTGTTGTACAGATTCATGTGTTATCTATAATAATTTCAAATAGATCTATTTTGCAGATTCATGTGTCACTTGTAATCTTCTAGAATACTGGAATGTTAGTGACTTTCAAGGAACAGACAGAAAGACAGGTGTGAAAATAGAAGAGGACAATCCAGGAGAAGATGGTATCAATGAAACAATAGATGATTATGAGGTGAAGGATGAAAAGATTTATAATATAAAAAAAGAATGTGATAGAGAAGAGAAAATCAAGGAAATTTCAAGTGAATATGAAACCACCAGCAATCATTCAACACCAGTTAAACATGTACCTCTTCCTGTAAGAGGTAAATTAAGGTAACAAGCAAGTCTACCTTGTGTGTTCTACTTAATACTGTCCAAGTGGGAAATATAATTTGATTTTCAAATGTGGTCTCATTAATATATGTAATTGTGAATCTAAATTTATTGAAAACAAAAAAAAGTAGGAAGTTTTTGTTCAAACGAAGAGAGAATTGTTTTTATAATGGCATATGACGTTCCACAATTTACTGTTAAGTACTTTGGTTGTCCATTTCTGCTTGTTTTATGTTAAGGTAAAATGTTAAAGTGAACTGTTTACCATATATTGTGATGTTTCTTAAAAGAAAATACATCGTGGAAGATGTGTTGAATTTAGGTGTTGACTCTTCAAAATTATGGGAGATGTATTAAGGTGTTGACTATATAAAATCATGGGAGATGTATTGAGTTAAGATGTTGAATATACAAAATCGGAGGTAGTATGTTATTATGAATTCATAGATTTAAGACGTGTAGAAAATTAAATTTGTGTAACTTTTTCAGTTTTATTATTTTCTAAATTAGTAGAGATACTATATAATAACTATACTGTTTTGTTCATTAAATGAAGGAAATAATTGCCTTAGTTTAAGAAACGCACTGACATCTGTCTTTTGAATGTACTTTCATTCCAACCTGAAGCACAGTCAAGCGAAGTCTACGGCTGATGAAACGACAAAGAGAGTATGGTGAGCCTTCTAAGGGGATACTACGTAAACGAAGCAGATGAAATAAGGTGATATAAGGAAGGAGGTAGGACTTGCTGTTAGCCACAATATGACATGGTAAAGGTTTAATTAAAATATGTTTTGATAAGAAACAGGAAATATTGAGAAAAACATTTCCATGATATTTTGTACATTAAGAAGCCTATAATAGTGTCTGAAATCATTACATACAAGTATCTGACTTTATATGTATCCAAAGTAATTCATCCTTAAGTTCAAAATCCGTGCATCCATAGTTTGGATCATGAGACACAGGGATCATGATTAATTACTACAGTGTGATCGAATCCCAAAATGAAAGAATTAGTGTTGCTCTTGAGTTTGCAAACTGCAGTTTGTGAAGAGGAAATGAAAACAGTTCCAAGGAATATCAAGATGTATGTTTTTCATCATGTGTTAACTGAACTTAAGATAGTTCTATAATTGATGAAAGAAACAAGTTGATGACTAAATGTTGTCATATTATGTAAGTAGAAATGTAGGGTTTTAAAAGATTTACTTAATTAAAGTGAGCTACCTTAAGATATATATGATAAGTATAAATTAAATAATATTTTTCATATCTGAATATGCTTTACAACAAGCAAAAAGTTAATAACTGTTTTTCACATCCTAAAGGATTAGAACTTGAATGTGAAGTAGCTTTCTAGATATTTCTCAAATCATTAAAAGTAGCTTTTAATTTGTTAATATACATTTTAATCTAAAATTCTTGATTTTGTTCTCTTTGATGTTTTCAGTAATCACGAGTAAACATTTTAATACAAGAAAATTAGAAACTGATTCCTTTATTTTCAAATCCATGGTTGTAATATGCGAAATATTTATGAAACGTAGAATTGTCTTTGTTAATTCTGTAAAACTGGGAACCTTGCAAAAAATAAAAGTTTATGAAAGTAACAGTCAAATAATTGATGTAGTCTAATTGTGAAAAATCAAAAACAGTTTTAAAAGCTATGAGAGAGAGAGAGAGTTTGCAGAATGTTCAAATTAACTAAGTGCCATTTATGATTGTTCTTAGAAACAGAAACCTGGACACTCTCTCTCTTACACATATTTTAATGCATTGATATTTAAGATTATAAGAAAGCTTTGTTCTTAATTATATGTGAAGAAAGTATGCTAAAATGTTGGAACAGTACTATTCCATAACAACTTTAGAATAATTGTTATTTATCGTGAGATTTGTAAGGCTTTATGTTAGTTTTTAGTTACTGGTAAGAATGAAAATATTTGAAATACTCAATTTAATTTTAAAAGTAATAAAAAATATTGTATACATAAATCATCAAATAGTAAAAATATTTTCCTGAAATTTACAATAAAGACATATTCTTAATTTCAAAGAAAACATAATTAAGGTTTTTAAAGATGAACCATAAATTAAATACTTGGAGTGACAAGTATCATTAATCTTAATTTAGACAAAATTCTTGTTTGAATAATTGGATGACCTTTGACTTCAGATGAAATAAACCTTTATATTTCCCAATATTTAAGTTGTACACTTTCATCAAGGAGCTGCTGTACAGAAACATTTACTGTGAGTTTTTAGGAAAATAAAAGTATATTTCATCTGAAATCAAAGTTCATCCAACTAAACTACAAACTGGAGAAAGATTCTTGTTCATTTAGATCTATATAAATGTTTTAAGATATTTATCATCAATCATAGACTTATGTTTAGGTATGAATAATTGTTGTACTTTAAGCCCCCTAGTGGCACAGCGGTATGTCTGTGGACTTACAACGCTAGAATCCGGGTTTCAATACCCGTGGTAGGCAGAGCACAGATAGCCCATTGTGTAGCTTTGTGCTTAATTACAAACAAGCAAAACAAATTGTAATTTATCTACTGCTGGCCCAGCATGGCCAGTTGGTTAGGACTCTTGACTCTTAATCTGTGGGTCATGGGTTCAAATCCCTGTCCCACCAAACATACTCGCCCTTTCAGCTGTGGAGGTATTCTAATGTGACGGTCAATCCCACTATTCGCTTGTAAAAGAGTAGCCCAAGAGTTGGCAGTGGGTGGTGATGACTAGCTGCCTTCCCTCTAGTCTTTCACTGCTAAATTAAGGATGGCTAGTGCAGATAGCCCTTGTGTAGCTTTGTGCAAAATTCAAATAAACCAAACCTAACTACTGCTTTTGTAGTAGTTTGAGTTTTAGAAAGTCACTTACTAGGGGTTAACACTTCATCTAAGCTGGTAGAGCACTCATTTGGTGTGAGATAGGTCTGGGGTTCAAATTTGGGGTAAGTAAGTATAATTACTGTGGTAAAATAGAATTCCATGCTAAGTTTTTGCCTATAAAGTAATATCTTGTCTATCAAGACAACAGTTCTCAAGAACCAGTTTTCCATAAACTTGTTAAGTTGTTCTTAAATGTGTCATTTTTTTTATCATCAAAATAGTAGTCTTTTTGTGATACTTTACAATATATATCATTTGAAATACTTGTATATATCATTTGAGTTACTTGTAAAGCTAGTAGTGCAGTGATTTATTGATAATAAGGTTACTTGTAAAGTTGCAACTTTCAAAATCTGGTACAAGTTTTTCCTGGAAAGTCTTGGAAGTTTAAAAAGTCGTGATTTGGGTCATCAAATAATTGGATGATAATATTTTGAAAAATAGAATTAAGTCCTCTGGAAACATGGTTGACTCTCACTGACTTTTTCTTTAATTGTGTGATTGTTGTAAAAATGAGTACCAATTTCACTGAACCTAGACACTTTGTTGTTACTTTATTTTATTAGTTTAATGGTGTGATTGTTGTAAAAATGAGGACTAATTTCACTGAACCTAGACACTTTGTTTTTACTTTATTTTATTAGTTTAATGGTGTGATTGTTGTAAAAACGAAGACTAATTTTACTGAACCTAGACACTCATCTATTTTGTTGTTACTTTATTTTATTAGTTTAATGGTGTGATTGTTGTAAAAACGAAGACTAATTTTACTGAACCTAGACACTCATCTATTTTGTTGTTACTTTATTTTATTAGTTTAATGGTGTGATTGTTGTAAAAACGAAGACTAATTTTACTGAACCCAGACACTCATCTATTTTGTTGTTACTTTATTTTATTTGTTTAAGTAACTACCTTACATTGTTAAAGTTACTAATAATTATGCTGATTTTAAAGTTTATCTAATTACCCAGAGATGGAAGACATGTACACTTATGCCTATTTCATTAAGACTTTAATACCTCTACAGATGTTTCACAGTTGTCTTTTGTAAAATAATCTATTCATTACCGAAGAACATGTATCTTTACTTTAAAATTTGTCACTCTAGGAAGGCCTTGCTGAGTTCTTGCCCTTGTGGATTCTTTCTTCTTTTACTAAATGTAGATCATGATTGGTGCTTAATTTTCAAACTTCTTTAGTATATTACATATCCAAAACTGTCATCAGTTCATACCATTGTCTACAAAGAACAGTATTATGGATTGTCATAAAAATGTGTTAAAACGTTGTTCAGTTCATCTCTGTATGACAGTTGAGAGAGAGAGAAGTTCAACTATTCAAATTCCATCTAGGATGTACAAGAATGGAAGGAAGTATTTAATGAATTTAAATAACATAGATAATTGTACCTATTTTCAGGATGTCTGGTGTTGAATAGGTGAATTAACAGGCTATATTTAGGGTGTCATGTGTTGAACAGATAAACTGATTAGCTATCTTCAGGATGTCACATCAAACAAATGTATTAACAGGCTATCTTTAAGATATAGGTATTAATGATAATAAAAACCAGATTTGGTTTTAGTCAGCACTATATCTACAACATACAGGTATTAATGACTGTGAAACCAGGATTTGGTTTCATATAGTGCTATAACTGTAGGGAAAAGGTATTAATGACATTAAAAACCAGTATTTGGTTTCAGTTAGCACTATAACTATAGGGAAAAGGTATTAATGACATTAAAAACCAGGATTTGGTTTCAGTTAGCACTATAACTATAGGGAAAATGTATTAATGACATTAAAAACCAGGATTTGGTTTCAGTTAGCAGTATATCTACAAAGTAAAGATATCAGGATTATAGTTTAGTGAACAGTATGCCAGAAAACTGGTTATAGTTTTGTTTACTTAGACCTTATTTCAACAACATGAATCATTTGACTGGTTTTGAAAACAAAATTATGTTTAAAATTGTTCTTACTCTAGCTATGGAGACTTAAAATATTTTTATTTAAAAACTGGAATGGTTATGGTTGAAAAGTCACTGAAACATAAATAACAAAGTGTAATGGATTTATTCCATACCTAATATGGATCTACTGACAGAAATGCACCCAAGATCATTTGAGTAAATATCTACTTCTAGTGAGCAAACTAAAGTTTTCTGCAGATAAAATTATATTTTTGATTCTCAATATTGCCTCAACTTTATGGATGTACTGATAACCGAAACAAAATCCTGGTTTTACTGTCAATATTATCTCAACTTTATAGACTAACTGATAACTGAAACAAAATCCCGGTTTTACCTTAAATAGTATATCAACCTTGTAAATGTATAGCTAACTGAAAGAAAATTCTGGTTTTCCTATCAATAGTATATTAACCTTGTAGATGTATAGCTAACTCAAAGAAAATCCTGTTTTTACTTTAATTAGTATATCAACCTTGTGGACAAATAGCTAACTGAAAGTAAATCCTGATATAACTGTCAATGTATATCAAACTTGTAAATATTTAGCTAATTGAAACAAAATTCTGGTTTTACTGTAAATAGTATATCAACCTTGTGGACATATAGCTAACTGAAAGAAAATCCTGGTTTTACTGTAAATAGTATATCAACCTTGTAGATGTATAGCTAAATGAAAGAAAATCCTTGTTTTACTGTCAATAGTATATCAACCTTTAGGCATATAGATAACTGAAACAAAACTCTGGTTTTACTGTCAATAGTATTTCAATGTTGTAGACATATAGCGAAGTGAAACAAAATCCAGGTTTTACTGTAAATAGTATATCAACCTTGTAGACATTTCGCTTACTGAAACAAAATGCCGATTATTTTGAATAGTATATCAACCTTGTAAATTCATAGGTAACTGACATAAAATTCTGGTTTTACCATAAACAGTATATCAACTTTATAGACATATAGTTAATTGAAACAAAATCCCGGTTTTGCTGTAAATAGTATATCAACCTAGTAGACGTATAGCTAACTGAAAGAAAATCCTGGTTTTTCTGGAAATAGTATATCAACCTTATAGACATAGAGCTAACTAAAACAAAATTCTGGGTTTACTCTCAATAGTATATCAACCATGTAGACATATAGCTAATTGAAGCAAAATTCTGGTTTTACTGTAAATAGTGTATGAATCTTCTAGACATATAACTAATTGAAACAAAACTGGTTTTACTGTAAGTAGTATATCAACCTTGTAAATGTATAGCAAACTGAAATACAATTCTGCTTTTACTGTGAATATTATTTCAACCTTGTAAACGCATAGCTTCCTCAAACAAAATTCAGGTTTTACTGTAAATAGTATATCAACCATGTAGACGTATAGCTAGCTCAAACAAAATCTTGGTCTTACTCTAAATAGTATATCAATCTTGTAAACGTATAGCTAACTGTAAGAAAATCCTGGTTTTATTGTAAATAGTATATTAACCTTGTAGACATGTAGTTAACTGAAACAAAATTCCTGTTTTACTGTAAATAGTATATTAACCTTGTAGACATGTAGTTAACTGAAACAAAATCCCAGTTTTACTGTAAATAGTATATCAACCTTGTAGATATGTAGTTAACTGAATCGAAATCCTGGTTTTATTGTAAATAGTATATCAACCTTGTAGACATATAGCTAACTTTAACAAAATTGTGGTTTCTCTGTAAATAGTATATCAACCTTGAAAACATATAGCTAACTGATACACAATTTTGGTTCTACTGTCGATAGTGTTTCAACCTTGTAGACATACAGGTAACTGAAACAAAATCTCAGTTTTACTTGAAATAGTATATCAATTTTGTAAACATATAACTAACTGAAATAAAATCTTGGTTTTACTGTAAATAGTATATCAACTGTGAAGAGGTATAGCAAGCTCAAACAAAATCTTGGTTTTGCTGTAAATAGTATATCAATCTTGTAAACGTATAGCTAATTGAAACACAATTCTGGTTTTATCGTGAATAGTGTATCAAATTTGTAGACATATTGCTAAGTGAAACAGTATCTTCGTTTTACTGTAAATAATATATCAACCTTGTAGATTTAGCTAACTGAAACAAAATCCCGGTTTTTCTTGAAATAGTATATCAACTGTGTAGACGTATAGCTAGCTCAAACAAAATCTTGGTTTTACTGTCAATAGTATTTCAACGTTGTAGACATATAGCTAACTGAAACAAAATCCCTGTTTTACTTGAAATAGTATATCAACCTTGTAAATATATAGCTAATTGAAACAAAATCCTGTTTTACTATCAATAATATATCAACCTTGTAGATGTATAGCTATCTGAAAGTAAGTCCTGGCTTTAATTTCAATAGTGTATCAACCTTGTAGACATATAGCTAACTGAAACAAAATCCTGGATTTCTGTCAATAGTATATTAGCGTTGTAGACATGTAGCTATCTGTAACAAAATCCCTGTTTTACTGTAAATAGTATATCAACCTTGTAGACTATAGCTAAGTCAAAGAAAATCGTGGTTTTAATGTAAATTGTATATCAACCTTGTAGATGTATAGCTAACTGAAAGTAAATCCTGGCTTTACTGTAAATAGTATATCAACCTTGTCGACATATTGCTAACTGAAAGTGAATCCTGGCTTTACTGTCAATAGTATATCAAAGTTATATACATATAGCTAACTGAAGCAAAATTCTGGTTTTACTGTCAATAGTATATCAATCTTGCAGAGATGTGGTTAACTGAAAAAAATCCTGGTGTTTCTGTCAATAGTGTATTAGCCTTGTTGACATATAGGTAACTGTAAGAAAATCCCGGTTTTACTGTAAATAGTATATCAACCTTGTAGACGTATAGCTAGCTCAAACAAAATCTTGGTTTTACTGTAAATAGTATATCAACCTTGTAGACATTTAGCTAATTAAAACAAAATTCTGCTTTTACTGTAAATAGTATATCAACCTTATAGACATATAGCTAATTGAAACAAATCCCGGTTTTGCTTGAAGTAGTATATCAACCTTGTACACATATTGCTGACTGAAACAAAATCCTGGTTTTACTGTCAGTATTATCTCAACTTTGTAGATATACTGTTAACTGAACCAAAATCCTGGTTTACTGTCAATATTTCCACAAGTTTGAATTTATATTACGCGAAGAACTGGGTTTTGGTAAATATAAATATTATATATAGTATATCAACCAAGTTCTTCATTTAAGAAAAACATAATTCTTGCTCTAATTAAACCGTGATTTTTCACTAGTTTGAGTAAAATATTCGTTGATCGATAAGTTAGAAATCTGCCCTTCTGGTGGAATATCCTATAATGTTTTAATATTAAAAACAAACAAACAAAAAAAAATCGCTATCTGATTCCGGGAAAACGCTGTTCCATGAAAGTCACGTGATTCTGCACATTACCGGAAATAGCGCGAATATTTATCACACACACACACGCACAGTCTTCGCCGTTAATTGAAATTCCATTTGTCCCTTTTGGTTTCGATTTTTTTGTACAGATAATATGAGAGTATATGGTTTCCGACTTTGAGTAAGAGAGTAAAGTACAGAACGATTACAAAAAATATGCCAACTATAGTAACTTGGCGGTAAGCTTATAACGCTAAAAACAGGGTTTCGATATCCTTGGTTGGAACAGCATAGATTGTGTAGCATTGTGCATAACAGTAAACAAAGAAAACGAGTGTTCTGTGTACACAGTTATATTTCTATTTAGATTGTTAATGTGGGTTGATTTGGTTGACGAAAACCATTCGTTTCAAAGAATACAATTACCTCCTACCTTGAATTTATAACTTGAGACCTGAGAGAATTGACATAGAGTGTGTCTTTATAATGATCACAGCATATAACTTGAATAAACACGATGAGTACGGTTAAGTTGGTCGTTTCTTTACAAAAAAAAATTGTTGGCTAGAAAATAAAACAGTACTATCTCGGTTTGGTTTGTTTTAAATTTTCCACAAAGCCACATAAGGGCTTACTGCGCTAGCCGTCCCTAATTTAGCAGTGAAAGGCAGCTAGTCATCACCAACTTCTTAAATCAACGCATGGTGGGATTGACCGTCATATTATAACACCTCCACGGTTGAAAGGGCGAGCATGTTTGGTGGGACGGGGATTCGAACCCGCGACCTTCAGATTGCGAGTCAAGTGCCCTAACCACCTATCTCGGGTAGCGTGTTCTGTAAATACGAAACCATTTTTCTGGTGTGATCATCCCTTTTATTTTTTGTTTCAGTTAAAAAACGTAAGAACTGAATTTTTTTTTATTCCTGTAAACTCCCAGTGGAGCATAGGGCCGCAACAACACCTCACCAACGGAAGGTGTTGTTGCAGTTACTTGTAGCAGGTTGGTTTTTACGGGGTGGAGTTGCTAGCCCCACGCCCAACCCTCCCCCTTTCTCATCCTGGACTTGGGACCAGGCAAAGGCGGAGGTTGGCATGTTTGGTGTGACGGGGATTCGAACCCGCGACCCTCAGATTATAATAATGAAAGTCTTCCGGATATTTCTAAAAAATCCTGAAAACCTCCGCTTTTCTTCCGGAGGAACACATTTTTTTGAAATTATTTATCGGATTTTGGTGTTCCATGCCATAGATAAGCGTTAATGTAATCGCGCGGTTTGTTTACATTCGGCGAATGAGTTTGATTTTACAATAGATATATGTCTGATTTATTTTCAGCAATGTTTTAATAATGAATCTATTCAATTTCATAATAGTGTGAACTGTTTAGTCTCAGTTGAATCATACTCATTTTATGTGTTTTTGATGCAGTACTCTAACTTACACTTAAAAGCATTACTTAAAACTTATATATTGGATGTCATAATTTTCACTCCATTAACTAGGGGAATGAGATTTGATATTTCTCACATGTATTTGATAATCATTGATGTAAGAAAAATGGGGTAACTTGTTTAAGTGAATTTTAGTACTAAAATGCAGGATTTTGGGTGCCGGACCCCCTTACTTGGCTTCGATTATTTTCAGGATTTTTAGGAAAGGGACACTTTCATCTCTGGTTACACATGATAACACCACTTGTAACATTATCAGCAAGACTGTTTGGTATCACACAGAGTCAATGCTATCAATTTAGGTATTAGCCTCCTATTGTCTTTTGTCAAACCCACATTCTCTGATTTGTATGGGAAGAAGAATTAGATTGTTAAGGTTTCTAAATAGAAATGCTCAACACTTTTAACTTTGATGGAGCATATCTATTTCAGTGAAACATACTAATTGTATGATGCAATTAGATATCATGCAATTTTTGAGAACCCTTTTAAGAAAGAACACTGAAAGATATTTTTCTGTTTCCACAAAAGTCTACTCATGAACAGTTTCATATGATTTGATTTGGTAATCTCTAGTATTATCCTGAAACTACATTTCATCAAATTTTCTTGAAATAACTTGGATAGTTTCTAATTATCTTGCTAGAATCTCCTGGAAAACAGTTTCTCTGGATGTGTGGAACTGTTCATACAAGAACAAAGATTTGTCATTGTTTAAATTTTTCATTTCAATATGAGTGTGTGAAAAATGGGCTATGTGGTATGCTTTTTTTTTTATGGCCTGTTGTCGTACTATAATTAGTCAGTTTTACAAAAACAAACTGGATGTGATTCAAAATGTTTTATTTGTGATTGAATATATGAAAAAAATGTGAATACTTTTTATTTACTAGTAGTTAGCATACTGTTGCCAGTGTATTTACTGTTGTAATTTATAAATTTCAGAGAACAAGAAGAAGGTAGATATGATTCAAACACTGATTGACCGTGGCTATGATTCTGACCCAGTAAAGGCCTGGAAGAAGGAGGTCAGCAAACAACAAGTGGAGGTATAGACTATCTATAATCTTTATAAACAGTAAATCACCTTTAATAATTATGAAAGATAGAATTGTTATGAACTTGCATGATTCTTCTTTGAACTTTAGTATAGTAAGTTAATAAAGTGTTAGAGGTCAAATGTGCTATGAAAATTATTTATGTATGGCATTTTTATGTACCACACATAAACTGTTAAATATATATATTTAAAACATATCTATATATTGTCTTTACTTTTCGCTATTTAACAATATATATTAAATATGTAAATTCTTAAATCTTACTTATAATTTGCTCGAGTTTGTAATTATTTTTATTATGCCTTTGAGATTGAAATTGTATGCCTGAAATTTAAGCTTGTGCATTTGTCAGTTAATAAATGTTTTGTTCAAACCTAACAGAATGAAAACTCGGCTGACAGTAGCGAAGAGGAGACAGAGAAGAATTCAACAGGACCAGATTATGATTATTTGCTTGGAATGAATTTGTGGAGCTTAACAAAGGAAAAAAAAGATGAACTGTTGAAAAAACGTGATGACAAGGTCAGCTTATTTTTCATATTTATCATGGTTTAAACGTTAACAGTTGAAAAACTTGTAATGTGTAATTTAAAAAAGCTGTTTTAATTTGACAAAACTGACAGTTTACTTGTTTTTTGTAAACCGTTAACTTACTGTTCTATACTTTTGTTAGCCTCATTGTGGCATTTACTAATCAGTGTTCTTATACTCTGAAATGGGCATTTAGGTTTTAAGTTGTTTAGCGTGATAAGATTTAATACACGTGTACATTGCAATCTAGAAGACTATACTGTGGCTGGATATTTTGATGTACTTGAAGTTTAAAGAACTGTATTTGTCGGTGAAAGGTAGTTTAACAAAGAATTGAAATTTTACTTTTGCCCATGCACTGATGTGGATTTTTGTTGTTATGATAAAGTAAAAAGTGTTCATATTTTACACCCAGTTCTCTTTCACTCATAGTTTAATATCCGTTGTCAATTGTGTAGCAGTACTGGGCTAATAATATGTTAATATTTTACACCTTGTTTGCTCTATTTCTTACCATTTAATACCCAGTGTAAATGGTTTAACAGTATTAGGCTTGTTATATTACTTTGGTGTTCATCTTTTGTAAGGCTAGTGTGAATATATAAATTGTTTGACATTTGAAAAAGCTAGCCTGAAAGTTTTAATGGTTTTTCAGTATCTGTTTTCATCATTCATATTAGTATACCATGACAGAATTAATAAACTTAACTAAGGTCAACTATCACTAATATATGTAGCTTTATTTAATTAGAACATTAAACTTATTTTCATTGCATGAATCATAATTCAGTTGAAAATTTAATTATGTGTATTTTATATACTGAAAGTGTAAGTCTGTTTTGTAATATTTGAAACTTTATTGTGTTGCATTCTTGTACTATCATTATTATTACTTTCTTACAGAGGATGGAGCTTCAGATCCTTCAGAAAAAGAGTCCAGTTGAGTTGTGGAAGGAAGACTTAGGCAACTTCCTCAATGAACTAGATGTAACTATCTTTCTGATTTTCTTGCTAACTCTTATGAAACTAGAGAAATAATATAGCTTATTATATGAAATCAATATATAGCTCCCAAATTTTGAGGTTTCCACAAAATGAGCTTGCAGCCAGTTTTAGTTTTACTTTATGTTTTTTGGCAAAATTATTGATATTTTTTGCTGTAAGTTTTTGTCTACTGTTTATTTTTTGTGTGGGTGTTAACTTGAATTAATAGTGAAATTTAATACCTTAAATTAAGGTGATGCATTGCCCATTTGACATTTCTATGTGAATTCCTGCAGAAGAATGAAAATGGGAAAAATAAAAAGAACTAATGTAACTTGCAATTTCCTTTTTGTATTAGAGATGCTTGTTTTGCTATAAAACATAGGTGACTGAAAAAGGAATTGGTTAAAGTTCTCACAATCAGTGCTGTCAATTTCAGGTTTCAAACATACCCACCTGATATGCAAAAAGCTTCTGATACATTTTCTAGCCACCAGAAACTGTCACCAAGAAAAAATTTATATAATAAGGATCCATGTATTTCTTGACTGGTTCGATTAAACAAAAAAATTGTATATATGTTGTTCATGAAGACAAGTATTTATTGTTATCTTATTGGTGACAGCTTACTAGAATAAGGCAAACATCTAAACTTGTTGCCCAGTCTGATCAGATTCTGGTTATATATGTAGTTCATGAAGACAAGTATTTATCATTATCTTACTGGAACAAGTCAAACATCTAACCTTGTTGTTCAGTCTGATCAAATTCTGGTTATATATGTAGTTTATGAAGACAAGTATTTATCATTGTCTTACTGAAGGAAATTGAACATCTAAACTTGTTGTCCAGTCTGATCAAATGTAAAGATTAACAGTAACTTAATCTTCACATTATAATCTATTAAAAAATCATAAATTAGGACTTTGTAATTGTGTATAATGATAAAAGTTCTATGTAGTGTGTCAAGTTAAACTTTGAAAGCAAAGGGAAATTTTTCTTTTTTTTATGTCTTTCAGTTTTAAGTTATATTTATTTTTTATATGATGTAATTGTAAAATTAGTTTTAATATATATTATAAAATCTGTAGAAAGTGGAACAGAAAGAGATAGAAGATGAAAATCAGGGTTTAAGTGGTAAACATTCGAAATTTGGCAAAGCAGGAGTAGGAAAAGGAAAAGGTCGAGGAAAGAAGATGAACTTGGAAGAAACCCAACCCTCACCTATTGGTGAACGTGTAATTCCTCACATTGATCCAGAACTAAAGAAGAAAGCTGAAAGGGCAGTTAAGGAGGGCAAAGGGAAAGTGAGAGTAAGTATACAGGAGTAGTTTAGTATTTAATAATGTCATTTTTGAATAATGTTCTAACAAGCTAGTGTGTGATTTTTATTTTAATAACATATTTAATGCAGTTGCATTAATGTGAGGAATTAAGCAGTCATGTGTAATCTATTGCAGTTTAATTTTTTTATATACATTTTTAGCATTTTAAGTTATCAGACACTGGTTTACGAAATAATGCTGTTGTTATTAGGATTTTATTGTTATTCTTATCAAATCTTGGATGTATATGTAGTATCACTTATGGAAAACCATATTGCATTTCAAAGCAAAATAAGTGTCATAGTCTAATAATGTTTTGTATGATAATCCTTGGTATTGAAAGTTTAATTATGAAAATATCACTAATGATTTGTGGGATATTAACTGTAATACTTAAATGATGTGATTAGATGTGTACTTTGTAAGTTGAGTTCTTTCTCTTAGTTTTTTTATGTGAAAATTTCTTTATAACATAAATACAATTCTATAGATGGTAAGAATTCAGACCTAGTCTCTTCATGTAATGAGGATGAAGTGAAATAAACTGTAGGGAATATGTTACTTGCATGAGAGTAAGGGAGCCTAAAATAAGCTTGGAATATTTCTAATCAAGAAACCAAAAGAAGTTGTGAAGAAAGAAGACGATAGTGACGAACCCAAACCTCTGAGTGCTAGATTAAAGAATTCAGCTAAGCAAGACCCAGAGAAACATACAGCAGGTAATTGTCTGGTAGAGGTTTGTAAATAATTAAATAACACTCAAAACATAGTAAGGTATATCATCATTTGATTAAAGTTGTTTTAACAATATAGTCATACAAGCACACGAATACTTGACATTAGATGAGCAAGTGGTTTGTTATAAAGAATGAAGTAATTTATTACTTCTGTCTGCTTGTTCCATGTATGCTATAAAATTGTGGGTTAGTTAAAGTAACTGGTAAGTTTATTTTATTTTTACTAAATCTAACTTGGTTATACTTTAATTGGAATATCTATTTTTTTTTACTATTTCTTGTATGATTATATCATTTATTAAAATCTTATTTTCACAAACATTGTTTTTTCATTGTACCATCCTGCTACCCAGTTTTATAGTTAAACAGATATACATGTTGTAGTAATTTACCTGGGATATTAAGTTACTCTAAAGTTACACACGTAACTTTCATTGGCTACAAGATATTGAGGATATTAAGTTACTCTAAAGTTGCACACGTAGCTTTCATTGGCTACAAGATATTGAGGATATGTTGTTGCTTTTTATATATTGTTGTCAAGTTTTAAAGGAACGTGAAACCTATCAAAGTGCTAATGTTTGAAACCTATCATATTACTAATGTTTGTGTTCTGATTGTTCTATTTGTTTATCATGTATATATTATTGTCAAGTTTTTAAAGGAATGTGAAACCTATCATAGTACTACTTTATCCCTGTTATGGGAATGTAATAGATATTTGTTTGAACTATGGTAACAGTCACTTACCAATATCAATATTTTATTAATATCTAATTGCCGATATGAACCCCCCCCCCTTTTTTTTAAGGAGGGGCTGGTGTTCTCCATTGCTCTAAGTCATTGCAATAACATTTTTAACCCTTTTGAGACAGGTGAAAGACCATGTC